AGGAATATACTTTGGTTTTTACATATTTTTTATCGCATTTTGAGTGTTTATCCAGAAAGTATGAATAATCCTTAATTTTTTAATCCTTCTTCAAGAGCTAGAGGGTTTGTTTAAGAGGACACTTGCTCTCAGAAAATTGAATTTTGAAGTAAACATTGATCCTGAATTCTTATATAGACGGATAGCTTTAACTGTCTTCGAAAAAGAAACAGCCTAATGTGGCTGATGAATTTCTTTTTTGTATAAAAGTTAAAAGCTATAAATCTAAAAATCATCTGAGATGACTTCTGAACTTCTTTTCCTTTGCTGGAAAAACTGCATTCCGTTAATCAGTAAAAACGCTTTTTTTAGAGTTTTGACTTAATGTTATGAAGACACAAATCAATTCGAATGATTTTTTAAGAAAGTGTCCATCCATTTTCATTTAGAACAAGGCGCGCTCTATAACTGCGACCAGTTCAGAGAGAAATTTACCTTGCAGACAGACAACTCCATTTTGATCCTTCTAACTCCTAGAAGTAGGCATGCATCAGTTTCGAATTTTAATAGGTTATCGAAACCGATATAAGAAAAAAAAACTTTTTTATTTGTACAGATTCTTGAAGATACATTTGAAACAGTATGACGGAAACATCTTGAAATGGCTGTGTTAGAGAAGAAAGTGTTCACCGTTGCACGATGGTCATTTTTTGTAGTTGATATTTTTCACAAAAATAGAAAAAGAAGTTATTCTGGATTCAATCGTACACTTTTTGCATATAAGTTAGTTGAATACAACAGTTGAGAGACGTTTCATTTTCCTTTATTGAAGATTGATTGCATCATGTAGAGGAAACTTGATTGTCTATGTTCGCATTCAGTTACATATTGACTAAAGTTTTTATTATTTGAGAAAAGCTCATGTGAAAGATACCAACATTAAATTACCGTAGACTTTAAGACTCAGAAAACTTTTACAATATCCTTCAGAAACGTCCGGTATTATCGAAACAATGTGGATTCTGTTAACACTAGAACGCGCGTAGCGGGTCATTTTGACCGTTTTGTGATTTTTATCCTTAATAAAACAAACTGCATACAATTTATTTAAAAATAAATTATGTCATAACTTTTAATTTGTCTCACAAAAATTATTTTTTGTAGAATTTTTAATTCATTTTTTAATTCAGAACCATTTTTAAGTATAAAATTTATAAAAGAAAACAGTAACGGTCAAAATGGCCGCTTTGGGCGTTTTAGGTTATGAAAATTTCCGGACGTTCTAGTGTTAATAAACCCTATGAATTATCTGATCGCACGTTCATTGTATACTAACGCGTCGCTGAAATTTCGCTTTTGTCATTTAGGCAAGTAAACCTTAAACTAAAAACCAAAGTAAATTTGTTTATAAACGTTTCGATAAATTCAACGATAAGAAAATGTTCAACGATAATCCACGCAATTTCTACTTCTTTTATAAAGAAAGACTATAAATATCATGCCATAAGGAGTTATGATTAAATCGTGTTTGAAGTTAAATGATTACAAGTCATTTCTGAGTGACTTATCAAATCCAATATTTTATTGTAAAATACGCGCTATTTTGCTAGGTCTACAGTATGACATAAAAATTTCAGAATGTGTAGAAAAGAAAAGAAAACTTGACATTTTTTTCGAATCTTTTTTACAACAGACGTTGATATTAAAAGCACATCTCACGGATGTTTAAGGCTCGTCCTCCTCAGAAATGGTGATTTTTATTCAAAAAATCAATTTTGAGATACGTACATGGAAAGATGGCCTGAAGTATCTACTTTCAGAATCTGTATCGCTTTTGGTTACAAAAGTGACTTTTGGCGGATTTTGAGCAAGTTTTCTAGGAGCCTCGAAAAACCCGGTCTTCAAATAATAGTTTGTTCCTGGATACTTATGCAATTAAATTTTTTCTGGACACACAGATTTGTAGAGCAAACTTTTCTGATCAAAATAAGACCTCGCACAACTCTATATAATCTTGCATCAAAAAGTTATAGGCATTTTCCAACAAGTTCTGAAATTGAGTATTTTATACAGCGTTTTCTCTACATGAGAGTTACACCTGGGTATGTAACGAGACCGAGAGCGAGACCGGGGTTCTCGTATACTCGCTCTCATACCCGGGTATAGTCTCGTGTCTCGTACCCGGGTATAGTCTCGTAGTCTCGTGTCTCGTTAGTAGTCGTATACCTAATATTAAAAACTTCACTATTCACTCAAAAAGCATCAGAATGAGTTCAAAACTTCAGGATATGATTAATGTTGTCAGCTAGACGTGATTATAAGATCGAAGACATCCAAAAGCATATTTTTGTTAATAGATTTACCAGAAACCTTTTTGCAAACCTTAGGGTTTTTTAAAATTTATTTCTAGATCTCCTATAAACAAGATATAGAATAGCTTAAATACTCTACATTCTGAAGTTTTGAACTCGTTCTAATGCTTTTTGAGTGAACAGTGAATTTTTTAGTATTAGGTGAAAACACCCTGAAAACCCTAATTTTCGTAAAACCGGCTTTTCGGTAGATTTTTAAAAATTTTTCTAAAAATAAATATCGCACGAGATTCAGCATGATCGATGAGATCAAACTGCCAGTAGAGTCGGATTTTCACAATTATGATTTTTGGAAAAACTGATGATTTTTTGAGGAAAGATTATTAGATATTGAGATCTTTAAATATTCAGACCGGTCTCCAAAAGTGTAGAAAACAAATCGACATACAATCATGGCTAAAGAAAAGGAGAAAAGCTTACTTTTCTAGCATATATTCGAAATGTGTATTTTTCTGAGAAGGTAGAAAAGCACAAAAGCTTGGTTTTTCCAGTATGAATTGAAAATATGCATGGAAATGGAGAAAAGGGAAGATGAAAGGGGAGATGAGAGTGAGCCCCTCTCTGATATTGGCCCCCTGAAAGAAAACAGGAAGATACCTGAAGATCTTAACATCAGAATATATAATATCTAAACATTTGAATATCAGAATATCTGAATATCAGAATATCTGAATATCTAGATATTATGTAATTGCAGATGTTCACATATCAGACCGATCTCTTCTTCGCTCTGAAAATAATGAAATGCTCAAGAATGAATCTAATGGCAGTATTCTTAATATTCGATGACACATCAATTTATTATATTAGAATTGGGTCTGAAAATCAAAATTACAGTTTACTGCAAAGCTAAGTTCGTATGTTCGAATCTCTATTCGTACAAAATTAATTTTGTATTTCTCGGTAGTGTTAGTTTAGAATACTAACACCTAAACGAAAAAATTCCTTTGAGAATATTTAGCTATAAAAATATGTTATCGGGCAGTGTCGGCTTGTGGTAGCTAGTTATCCGTACCACTTTTATTGAGTTAGCTAGCTATACCGGGTATGATAGCTAGTGACTAGATATCGTACCCGATATATCGGGTTGACGAAAAACACTGATCGGAGTATAGTCGATATATTGATCAATTATCGCCCGATATATTGTGGACAGTGTCTGATACCGCTGTGCCACTAGCATAAAATTAGATATATTGACTCATGTATCGACAGCATGAAGGATGCTGTCCACATTGCATTCCGGCCTGTCTGTATACAGACATCCTGCTTTCTGTAATATATTACAGAAAACAATATTCCCTAATATATTGGTCTATTATTCTCAATATAATGACTTAATATGAATAAAAACTTTGTAAATTTGCAAAGTATATGTAACACATATATAGGTACAGTGGTTGCAAAACAAAAAAGTGAGTAATCCGACCATCAATATATCGAATAATATATCGGGCTAGCTAGATATATGATCAATGATATTGAGTTAGCTAGGTATACATAGTAATGTATCGTGTTAGCTAGCTATATCGCCTGATAGTAAATAATCTGATTTGAATTGCTAGCTAGCTATATCGGGTAGTATATTGAGTTAGCTAGCGATATCGTTCGATAATCGATATTTTTTTTCTGTTTGGGCGGGTGATCCAAAATAAAATGGCCACTTTTATTCTTTGTTTTTGAGGCATTTTCTAATGGCCCATAGAGTTGATTCTAGGCTTATTCGACAGAGAATTTAATTCTCTGCAAACCTGCTGTTTAAATCTCTGACAACATTTTTCTCGTTTGAACACTATTCAAAATATTGAATGGTGTTGAGTTATAAAGCTGGGACGTGCTTTTGTCGTCTCCTTTTTTGAGATTTTTAGCCCATTATCTGAGATTCAATAGTTAATGTTCTACGTTCTAAGATAGAAAAATTTATGCTCTATCGATCGCACTCTTTTGCAAGTTCATAAAATGTTTCCGCTATATCAGATGGATTCATAATTAATTCTCAACTGGCTTTTCAATTTTTTGAAATTAAATTAAGTTTTTAATTAATCGTTTCAATTGAGAAACTTTGTTTATATATTAAAAGATGCAGAATTTATTTTTTATTACTTTTTTAGATTTATCAGTTTTTTGCACAGAGAAATTTTCCTAGAAGACTTAATTGAAAAATTTCTAAAAATATGTGCACCTATCAATATATAACGAGAAAAATGCTAACAGAGATTTAAATAGCAGGTTTGGAAAGAATTAAATTCTCTATCCAATGAGCCTATAACCAATTCTTTGGGCCACTGGAAAAGGTCTCAAAAATAAACAACAAATGTGGCCATTTTACTATAGCCTACTCGTTATAATGACATATTTTTTTCCGCTTGTATTCTGAGAAGAATAAAACTGAAATCAAATCAAAATGACATTTGACAGTCTAATGGAAATGATCAGTAATAAATACACATTCTATTTTTCATGAGTTATTTTCATTACAAATGAGCGACATTAAACTATCTAAATTGAACTTAAAAAAATAGAAAAAGATTGCTTGGCTAACGGATTGAAACGACAATCGAAAACAAATGATTCAATACACAAAATGAAAATGTTAAATTAATCATAGAAATCTAATATTTATTTGTTTTTCTAGAATATTTTCATTTATTAATGATATAATTGTTTTGATAATTCAATAGCTTTTTCTTCAAATAAATCACCTAACTGTGTGTCACCTGCCTGACGAAACGTATCAGCTTGTAAGTTAAATTGATTCATTTGTACTCGTATTAATTCTCGTTGTATATCTTGTTCAAACGATATATGATTTACTTTTGGATTATCAACAATGACTTTGCTACATTCGATTGACGGATCAGCTGATGGATAAACGTAGACCATTTGAATTAATTCTGTATGTTGAACTAACATTTCTTGAAGTTCTTCGGTATGTGTATCTTCTGTTGAGACAAAAAGTATCAATTGTTGATCTTTGTATCCTTCAATGATATTGCCAATATCGATAAAATTAGCACAATGAACAACACCCATGTCTTCATTATTCATCGATTGATATTTTAAAGTACGATCAAAAATGATAATCAACCATTTAAGATCATAAGGATTTCCATTTTCTCCTATAAAATAACAAGAAAAAAGGATTGATTATTTCCTAGATATAAAACACAGATCTTTCACATATAATGTATAACGAAAGATAACGCAAAAATTGTAAAAGAATTCTTTATATTTTTCTATGATCTATGTAATTAAAGTCCAAAATATTTTCATACCTGTATTTGGCATGTTTTAGTCGAACTTATTTTCAAGTATAATTTTTCAGTTAATCACAAGTAAATTTAAGATAAAAAAAATACCTATAAAATGAATATTTTTTTTTTCAAGTTAGTAGAATGAGAAAAAAAACCGGCATTAGCATGACAAATTAAAATTAATGTATATTATCATTCTTTTTCATAGAATCAAATTTCCTTTTTTTCCGGATGATGATGAATCTTCTTTTTCTATTTTTTTTCATTCGATTGCATGCTACGATTAAGATTGGTTTTTCCAAGCAGAAGTTTTTTATTTCCAGATAGAATAATTCGAACTTTTACTCAATTTCACTAGAATGACACTGTAATAATATTTATGAAGTCGTAGACATAGGCCATCTTTCTACTGGCTTTTATCGAGCTGATGAATTTGATCGTATGATATAGAGTTTTAACTATTGATAGAAGGGTAAAACCTTCAATCTTTTACATATTTAAAATATCAAACAAATAAACCTTTGTTTAACTACCGTTGTCTCCTATCAGAAATACAAATTTTACTTTAGATAAAAATTATATTATTATAAAGTTTGTTTATCATAAATTGTCCTAAATTACTAAAAAAAAAAGTGTATTCTAATGTTGTCAGTATTTAGAGTAAATATTTCTGTTTTTAAAGATAAAATATTACATAGTTCTAGATATGATTTAACCAACAAATACGAGAATTCTACTACAATCCTTAGGAAAAAATACTAGTGATTTTGTTTAATTTAAATTATGATATATTACGAATGAAGTATAGATGTGATTATTCTGCTGAGAATATTTTTTTTCAAACTTTAACTCTCATCTCTCCAGTCGAGTGGCACTGAAATCGAGTTACTCCATTGCATCTGTGTCCAGAGGTACCGAGACAATGAGCATTAGTTAACTTGTCCAAGACTATCCCGCGACAGCCGTTTCCGAAATTCGAACTCCGTATGTTTGAAGTACGTTGTCTGTCCACTAGTTGACTGGGTCACGCTGCTCAATATATATCTAGGTTATCCTATCTGGCTATAGAAAAACCTCTACTTCAAAAAGCCATTAACCATGGCATGCAATCGAATGTAAAAGACGAAAAAGCTTTTTGATGAAGACTAAGATGAAATGATAATATGTAATATGACCCCTGAACAGCTGTTAGCAAATTGTGAGGCATCTCTTGAGCTTTTAGTACATTTGAAGCAGAAGAAAATTTTGTGTTTTTTTGCTGAAAAACAACATTTCTGTCAAAGTATTCAATCAAAACCGAAAACGTGTTTTTCTGATATCCCAGGTCGAGTATATAAGATATGTATGCCGTCCCACAATCTCGAATCCCGTAGAATGGCGCCGCACTTGCTCAAACATTGAAAAACGAGGAAAATGACCCTCGTTGTCGTTAAGAAATGACTTTTTTTATACTGTTAAGTGCAAAAGGTACATTCTGAAGGAAAATGGGTTAAGTATGAGAAGCCACCGTGCAGTTTTTTCAAAACTTTTTAGCGTAATATTCGTCATCAGGAGCTCAAGTTGCACAAATTTTGAAAATTTCCAATGATTAGTATAAAGTCGAGGTTGGAACACGATTAAAGAATTTGGGCTCTGTTCGAGCTTATCCAATGTTGTATTATAGACAATATGAACCAAATTTAGCTTTCTCCGAGCATGGTTTATCTACAATGTCGAAGTATGGCATCAGTTATGAATGTCACAGAGTGAATAATAGCTCAAGAGTCTAAGTGCTCTGACAGAGTTGGAGCTTTTGCTGACCATCAATTAAAAGATTAAGAAATTTTAAATGCACATTGTTCTATTTATTCGGATGAAAACGAGTCAGATTCTGATGTATTTCTCAAAAACAATAACTTAATTACTACTGATGTTACAATGAGTTATGGAAAAGGTAGAAAAAGACGTTCTAGTATCGATGAACAGCATGTTGTACGTCAAGCTTATCTAAACAAACACTTAACAATTAATATTGCATAAACTAAACATTCTTGTCTCTTTTTACAGCGAAAACAGACAAATTTATCGTATTACCTCTGAAGAAAAAGAAAAAAACCTGAATAGATTTTTTTCTACTCTCTTACATACACATTAGACTTAAACGCAAAACTTAAAGTATAGTATTAAGGGGGAATCCTCCGATTTAGATTTGGTTCAAACGTTGCCACATTGCAAAGGACTTTTCAGAATATATATGAAAAGAGTTTGGAAGTTTACGGAGTTGTAGTTTTCCAGAAAAAAGTTTTTTAATTTTTTCGGCCTTTTTTGCCCATTTTTAAAATTTAAATAAAATTTTTATTTTTCAGTTTGAATTGATCTTGAGAATGAGTTTGTAAGGCCAAAAGTGTGCGTTTTCCAGATGTGGAGACGCATTTTAGAGAGGAAATGTGAGTAAAGAAGTTGCTTATCATGTTTTTCTCGATGATATAATACTCTGCTGTCGCTAAATTTCTTAAGGTCCATCATTAAAAGTGAAAACACTGAGATACTGCACTGCAGAGAAAAACCGCTCAAATTTTACGCTGCTTTCTCTTTTCTTCTGAGCCAAAGGATAGTGTTCAGAAAATCTTCAACTCATAGAACATAGACACTTTCATATACGGAATTGAATGGACTCGTCAAAAATTGAAAAAGACTAGAGATTTTCAGGCAGATTTTTCTGAGTTTCAGAGCGCAAAATCGTCCAGCACCTTGCACAGAGTTTCGCTTCAGGAAAGCGTTATAGAAGAAAACTGTGAGAACAAAAATTGTTCAGAACCAAATTTTACACTGAATGAGCGGAGTAAATTCTGAAATCTTTAAAACACGATTTTTAAAACGAAATTTACGAAAAATTCGACTATTAAAAACAGTGTTTTGGGACTTAAAAATCGAGTTTTCAAAATTTCAAAAATTTCTCCGCTCATCCGGTGTATAATTTGATTCTGAACAACATTTGTAACGAAACTTTTGTTCCAAATGCTTTCCAGAAGCAAAATCATGCTCAAGGATTTTCAGAAATACTTTCTGCTCCGAAAGTGAATTGGTCAAGTTAAACTCAAATATCTCAGTCACACTGCGTCAGAAAATAATGAAAATTTTTTCTTGGGTACATCTCGATGTATCCCAGCGATTGGCGCAAAGATTAGCGTTACATCTCAAAAAACAAAATTCTATAGAAATTTTAAAAAATGGGCAAAAAAACCACGAAGTAACTCCAAACTTTTTTCTGTAAAAACTCGACTTGCAAAAGTTAGCCTGTAAGAAGTAGGATCGGGGAAAAAATTAAGTTTGCCAAAAAATGACAATTGGTATAAGTAAATCGACTTTAAATTATAAATCTCCATAGCATTTAATATATAAAAAGTAAAAAAAGTTCGTAGTTTACATTGGAGATTTTGGAGAAAATAAAATAAAACATTTTTCCAAATAGTTTTCTGAACGGCTAACCTTCGTAAAGTGAGCGCGTGAAAGTTAGCGAAGGTCGAGGAACGCTCAAAATTTCATAGAATGTTTTTATATACCAGCTATCAATATAGTTAGCACAAAATAGCACAAATGTTTCTAGGCTTAGATGCTGATCTTCCAAAAACCCTTAATTTTCCGGGTGTTTTTCATTTATCTCCGCCCAGAAATGTTTTTATTCAATAAAAATGATATATTCAGAATCAACGCAAGAAAATGCATTGAATAATGTGCGATCAGTAGGTTTTTCTGAGCAAAACTTTGTTCGATCTAACGAAACGCTAAAGTGGAAGCAAAGCATGACAACTTGGGCTAAGGATTTTGATATAATTTCAATAATATTTTTGACACAATTCTTTGCGAATGTAACAAAATTAGAAGATCTCTAACGAGTGTGTTAGTTGTATAAAGTAGTTTAAATTTCGTGAAGTTTATATACGCTTGATTTCAGATGAAGCAAATAATCCACGAGTAATATGGTACTATTGTGTACTCTAGCATAATGGATCACAATAAATGTTACACATTAATTATTGTTGAGACAAGAAGAAGAAATATCGATTTTCTTTTGTATTGATTAGATACCTAGAACATGAATAACAAAACACATGGACTTAAGTCACCGTTGAGCACCGTGGCTCAGTCGGCAAACATGTTTTACTTTTTCATCAGGAATATTTCTCATCGTACAAAGTGTATAACAGACCCTGAGTCTCTTTAGCTGAGAAAATGACTAAATCGGAAAAGAATATTTATTTTTTTATCTTCGTTGAACTGAGAGCATCTCAGATTCGAAGTTATTATTCTTGTTTAAAATCGAAATTTAAAAACAGTCAGTACTTGATGATGATGAGAGAAATGAGAATGATTCAAAGATATTCTAGCTGAAGAAGGCTCTACCGAGAGGCATCATCAGATTAGTAAAAAGTTGTTGTTTTTTAACTCTAACGATCTGTACCATTTAAGATAAATATGAATTGCTAATTCAAGAATCATTAGCTATACGATCGACATGCCCTATCGGAACTGGTGCAGATCGTTCACTTCCATTATATGTATATCCGGGTGTTACTATACAAGCATTAAATACGAAAATAAATGCTGGTTAAGAATTAGTAATTAAGAAGGAATAAGAACAGTTTTCTATTAGTCCATTGCCATTTCCAAATAGATCTCCTTTCGTTAAATGTATGTTTTAATTTAGTTTCAATTTTTTATATGCAGTTGAAAATGACCGTAATAGGTCACATTGTTTTCCATTGATACTCCCATAATTTTCTCTTGTAAAAACCAATAATAAAAACGTTTTGCTGATGAAAAGATATTCCGAATCTCCTCTTTCGAATGGAGAACGCCTCAGCTCTACAGCTACTTGAGATCAAAAGTTATTCAAAAAATGGTGAAGAGCACCCTTTTCTTGAACAGATAATAGTAGAGTTACGCAATATTAATTAGCAGTCATACTAGAGCTATTAAGTTCAATTATGATTGAGAAAAAAATACTTTTTACTAATCTGATGATGCCTCTCGGTAGAGCCTTCTTCAGCTAGA